CCGGGACTGTCCAATCACGGGTCCGGGTCCGTTTACCCAAAATGTTGACCAAAGTCAACTTTATTCATATTAATATCAAAATTCTTCAATTTTTACACAGAATTTATATTTAAGCTTTCCAGCCACGCGCCCGGACTACGCACGCAAATCGAGGCAAGCCTAAATGAGATTTTCAAGGCCTCAGAGACACAGAATGAGTGAGAAAATAGGTGATGACCCTTTGGGTCGTCACAATTTATAGCTTAAATAAATATTTCATACAACGATTCATACATTATACGACTATTTTTCAACTTTCATACAACATTCAAATAAAAATATATATATATATAATAACAACATAATACAACTTAACAATTTACATACAACTTTAATACAATTTCGTAAGTATATTGTATGTCATGTGTTCTTGTTCTTGTTCTTCTTTCAATATGAAATTCAGCCAAAGTTAAGTCCAATCTCACCAAACACCCTCAAAATTGAGATATAAACTCAAAAGAATATTTTCAATTGTTTGCAACAATACCCAATTCAAACAAACAATAGTTTTTGAAAGCCCATATTCGAATTCAAAGCTTCGGAGCTTTTTAATGGCTGTCAATAGTTGAGAATCAAATACCTTCAAAATTTATTGATTGACAATTTCAATTCGAACACCAATTATGCAACATGAAAGAAAATTGCTAAGTTAAAACTCTATATTATAACAATTGAAATTCATTGATGAATTTTCTGGGGGGAAAAGGATGAAAACCAAAGAAAAACGAAGGAAGAAAATTGGGAAAAGAACAGAGAGAGAGAGAGAGAGAGAGAGAGAGAGAGAGTGAGAGAGAGAGAGGAGGGGATTACCTATTCAATTCATAATATAAAGGGATACTCATTTAAAACTAATTTGTATATTATTGGTAAATTATATATGCCCATATAATTAAGTTAAAACTTGATTAAGGAGGATAATAAAGTTTCATATATAGTATAGGAAGGTATAAATCCCAAAAATAAAAGAAAATTGACGTTTCCCCTTTTTACTACTCCTTCTATTTGAATTTAAACGACACATTTTTCTTATTAATCTGTTTTAAAAAGAATGACACATTTATATATTTGGAGACAATTTAACTTTAAACTTTTTAATTTACCCATTTTACTCTTAATGATAAATTTTTACAACTACAAAAATATTATAGTCCTTTTTGCCCCTTAAGCTTTTAGGACCACATGTTTCAAAAATCTTCTTTGTTTTTCTTAAACTTTGTTTTCTTAAACTTTGTGGAAAGCGGAGCAACTTTTTTAGATTTACTCAGTCAGAAAGTAAAAGCTGAGGCCTGATTATTACCCAATCGAGATTAAAGTGCTGAAACTAAAAAGTCTCAAGTTTAACTTTACTAGTTGGTATCATGTAAAACAAATTGATTTCTTCTACTACATAACAATAGGTCAAATCACATTAATTCCTGTTATTTCTGTCCAACTAAAAATTTGGTCTCTACCTTAATCAATATCTTCGATCTCAGATATCAAAAAAAGTCTGATTTTGTAGCTTTCTCCTTAAACTTTTGATGATATTAAAATATCAAATTTGGTCCTCATGTAGCTGAACTTTCATGTAACCTCAATAATGATAATATCTATACATTTAAAAAGAATTAACAACTTCCAGGATAACTTGTTACACAAAAACAAAAAATAAACAAACAATATAACTTTTTGATCATATCATAATTCAAGAATTAAACACAGAATATTCAAGCTATGGCCGGCTGCACAGACAAGTTATTGTTACAAAATAAACGAAAAAATAAATGCATATATATATATAACCAAACCCCTAGCAATCTTTAAACTAGAGGCTGATCATAAGAAGAAGAAAAAATGAAATTAAAAAACGCAGTCTCGCTATAGATTTGGATACAATTCCATAGAGGGAACCATTGACTTGTAAATCTCATATATAAGTCTGTTCTCAAACTCAGTATTTGTATAACCCAATTTAGCTTCTCTTGCCTTTGGAATCCTTTTAGCACCAAACACATTCCCATTGTTCAATGAGTTTACATTTCCAGCCAACTTAATCATCATGCTCATGTAAGCATTCTTGAACTTGTTCCATAACTTTAATGGTGAAAGAATATTCAACTTCAACTTTGGAATTGCTTTAATTCTCCATATTCTTTTGCTATTTCCATTTGCTTTACCAAACCTAGTGACCTTCATGTTCTTCCTTCCTGTACCATCTAGACGTTGGTATCTTCTTCTTCTTCTTCTCCACTCTCTCTTAATTAAGCCACCACTAAATATGCTTTGAACCAAATCCATCTCTCTCTATATTTGCCTTTGTCTATGTTTGTTTATGAGAGAGCTAATTAGTGAGTTATGATATTTGTTTTAGGCCAAAAAAGGTTACTATTTATATTAGGGAAGAATACGTAAAACAAAGAATGAACAAGAAATTAGAGGGGAAGGTGTTCCGATATTCCCTGGAAAATCAAAGGTATTAAGTTGACATATTATGGTCAAACCACGAGTCAAAGATAACTTTCAACAAAAACTACTAGAGAAGGCAAAAAAGAAGAGAAAGTCAAGCACTCCAATGAAGAGAGAATATATAAAGCACGAGGATATTTATTAAGAAAGAATCCGTCTAGAAGTTTGACAGTCAAAACAAATTGACCCTCTCATATTTAATTTGGCTTGAAGATAGTCTACCAATAGAGACTTCTACTAGTCGAAATTGGTTGCTAAGCCCAAGCCATTTTTGCAAGATATTTTTTAGAATTTTAGAATATTTTTACTTCCTTTACAAATCAAATGTATAGTATGTCAAATATATATATATATATATATATATGGAGAAAAATTATTGAAATATCTATGTATTATCCTTATTGCTACTCCTATTACTAGTTCAGAGTCTTCAGAGAAATGACCATTACCCTCAATAGTCAAAACTTTTGTTTCCTAGCCCGGTAGCCCCATTATCAGCAACTATTGTTCCACTATAAACAATTATTTTGGAGAATTGAAGGGTCAATTTGTTGCTGAATCTCCATTCGTTTTACAGGTAACGTTTGCCAAATTGAAATTCTTCAATAATACTAGTATTTGTTTTAGTTTTTTCTTTTTCAAACAGGCAGACGACAGCTAGTCAAATATAAACAAAAATAACATATAGTATCATTTTCTCCCTCCATAATTCAGCCAAAAAGATTTTTTCCCAAAAAAAAATTGCAAAAAAGTTAACCTAACAGGTTTATTTGAAAAACTCTGCAAACTTTACAAAAAACTTTCAAATGGGACCTGAGTTTTCTCTACCTTTTTCCATAAAGAAATCCAGACAAAAATATCCTTTAGCTTTCCAATAACTAACTTGAATTTTAAACACATTTTTTAAATTTTTGAAACATAGAAACCCATTTTACTAACAATTCAGCTTTACCAAACAACTCCTTTAAGATATACGAGTACTGATTATTCTCAAATTAGTTCTGAAAACTAACATTTAAGGGTCAATTACACATACTCACTAAGATTTAACCTAATTAGCGAGTTATTTCAAGATCAGATAAACCTCAGTATGATTAAGCTTGTGTGAGAAAACTATACTCCCTCCGTTCCAATTTATGTGAACCTGGTTGACTGGGCACAGAGTATAAGAAAAAATAAGACTTTTGGTATTTGTGGTCCTAAACAGAGTCCGTCGCATTTTGCACCCCTAATGTGTATCCTTTTTTGTGATTTGCACCTTGTCCTATGTTTTTTTACGATTTCAACCCTAACCTCTTTATTCCCTTGCAAAACGATAAAACCACCATTTACATAAATTTTTCATGAGGGCAAAATAGGAAATACAAATAATATGTCTTTTTTTTGCCTTAAGTTATTTTTTTTAGGGTAGGACGTTAATCCTAGCGAAACTCTTCCCGCCATCACCATTGCATCGTGGGAGACTAGGTTAAGCTCTCCAAGCATAAAACGCGCTAAAGGATTACCAAGAACAAATAGCACATCATCAATGGATAAAAGCAAGGAGAAACGGAAAAGTCGATTGAAGAAGGAGAAGTTGAAAGGTAACAAGTTCGGAGTAAACAAATTCCATTCATATGCTCTTTAATTCGTCAATGGGTATTGAATTGCCAAAAGCTTATTGTTTGCAATGCGTAAGATGCAATCCATCATTAACATGTTTTTGTCCCATCCTCTATCTGCTATTGCTTTTTTTTATTTAAAAATAAATCACAAAACTCAACTCACTACAACAATGCACCAGAAAGAAAGGTTGGCAAATCTATCAAAATTTCAAACAACTCTGAATACTATCATGTAAATCAATAAAGAAAGATCAATTCATTTAAGTTCATACTCTACTTTGGATAAAACAGACTTTATTGAAAAGCCACAAATGCTTCTCTCCAATTCAATAAAGCATAATGAAAAATAGGCTAATCTAAACCATCAATAAATAATATCCTCTCTTTGGAACAAATTGGACAGCAATCCTCGAGGCATCAAATATCATTCCTCTATCTTTCTTTGCCAACTCTGCTATGTGATCCCTCACGTGCTTCAAAAAGTGCATTCTACAGAAAAATAATATCCTTGTTCAAGACTTGATATTTAATGGAATTATGCTATTCAGTTTTACTAAAACAAGCGATGTTACCTTGAATCAATTTAGCTTTTTTGTTGACCGTAGTTTTTTACTTTTAATGAATATTCTGATACCAAAAGTAGTTCTTCAATGTGTATATTCTTTTTTATCTAATCTAGAAATTGAGCTAGCTTAAACCTTGCATTGTCACAGGTATGGATAATGAGCTTTTTACATTGAAGATTCATCATGGAGGTCAATTTTTAGATGTACCAGAGAGGATTTATTTGGGAGGAAAGATAGATTTATTGATAAGTGTGGTCCACATAAATGGTCATTGCAAACCTTAGAATGGATTGGAACAACGAGATTAGGATACAACAATAGTCTTGGTTGGCACTTTAAACTACCCATGACAGATACTGGTAATGGTTATATTCAATGCTTGGCTAATGTTGATTGTGATCTAATGGTAAAAACACTTCCAGCTAACAGAGTTGCTGAAGTATACATTACACATGCTGGTAATGTATCAAAAATACAAAATCAAGTGAGTCCCAATGCTAATTATATTTGTGAGGATAATGGGTTGCAAATAGACTTGGAGGCATCGAATGATGATTGCATATAATCATATTTTCAAGTCTGCAGATGCAAGTATTAACTTAGATGACTTTGAATTGGAAAGAGCAAATTATGGTGGGGATAAAAATAGTGATGTTTACCAAGAATTGGAGCATTTTGAAGGTGATGAATATCATGTAAATGAAAGTGAAGAAGAGTCGAATGGTTTGGAGATAGATTCAGACAGTGAATGGCTTGGAATTTGGGACAATATCGGAAAGGATAAGGCGGCAATGAAGCTGAAAGGAAAAGAAATAATGAAAAGAAAAGAAATAATGAAAAGAAGAGAGGATAAAAAGAAAAATCTAGCAGGAAATAGCGAAGTTAGTGTAAAGGGGAGGAAAGAGGGGAAGGAAAAAAAGAAAGATAAAGTGATGGAGAAAGCTAAGAGTGCCAATTTTGCCGGGTTACTACTGGAGGACTCAAGTACAGAATCTGAGAATGATAACATCTCTCCTAAGTATGATTCAGATGACATGTGCAGTATTAATAGCGATGATGATGAAAAGGTTAGAAAGATTGAAAATGTTGCATTTAGGGCAGAAACGGACATGGATAATCCAACATTTAGGTTGGGAATGACATTCATTGATGCAATAGAATTTAGATCTGCACTGAGATCTTATTCTATTAAAAATAACGAGAAAATTTCCTTCGAAAAGAATGAATCTGATAAAATTTCTGCAAAATGTTGTGATCAATGTCCATGGCGCATATATGCTTCTAGAAAGGGACTAGATGACCCCACAATCACGATAAAAACTTTAGTTGGGAAACATTCTGATGATTGTTTGTTTGTTTATGCCAACAAAAATGTGAAATCTCGAATGATTGCCAAAAAATTTCTGCATTATTTGAGAATACATCCAGATGTATCAGTAGGAGATTTCATGGACAAAGTACATGAAGAGCTGAATGTTGAAGTTTCCGTGAGCCAAGTGTATAGAGCAAAGACAATAGCAAAGGAGATGATTGAAGGTCATTACAAAGAACAATATGCAAAATTAGAGGACTACTGTGCAGAACTCAAGAGAAAGAATCCAGGATCAACTGTATTGTTAGAAACAACACCTCATGAAGAGGATGGCAGACCTGTTTTTGAAAGAATTTGCATATGTCTTGATCCCTACAGAAGAGGTTGGATGACAGGTTGTAGGCCACTCATTGGGATGGACGGTTGCTTTCTTAAAGGACCATATGGAGGTCAACTTTTGACAGCAATTGGGATAGATGCTGATAATGGCATATTTCCTATAGCCTATGCGGTAGTTGATATTGAAAATAAGCATAACTGGAAGTGGTTTTTAAATTTGTTGGTGGATGACTTGCAAATTAGAAATCATGATAACTTATGTCTTATTACAGACAAACAAAAGGTAAGAATTTTTATCCACATATAATATCAAATTCTAGTTGCTTTCAATTATCAAAATTAGCCATGTTTACTATTCTCCTCACTTCTGTAGGGTTTGGAGGGAGCTATTTATGAGACAGTTCCCCAAGTTGAACATAGGCATTGTGTAAGACATTTGTACAATAATTTCAAGAAAGAGCACAAAGGTTTATCGTTGAAGACAAGAGTTTGGAAAGCTGCAAGGGCAACTTATGTAAGTAAGTATAAATATGAGATGGATATGCTGGAAAAGGAGGACAAAGAAGCTAGAAATTGGTTTAACGATAAACCACCCAAATTCTGGAGCAAGTCACATTTTAGAACAACAACAAAGTGTGACATGCTTTTGAATAATATTTGTGAGGCATTCAATGGGACAAAACCCATTTTAAGGGCAAGGGAGAAACCTATACTTGGACTACTTGAAGGAATTAGAATATACCTGATGAAGAAACTGAACCAAAAGAGGGAAGACCTGCTCAAATACCAAGGTAATATTGTTATTGTAACTTCTCTGAAGCACAAAATATTTAACATGATCCTAACAATATTTTACTATAACAGGAAATTTATGCCCTCGAATCCGAAAACTAGTAGAAAAAGTGAAGGAAGACTCAGCTACATCAATTCCTACTTGGGCTGGAAAATTTTTATTTCAAGTAAAGACCATGTATGGTGAACAATTTAGTGTAGACTTGAGTGGAAGAACCTGTTCATGCAGGGGATGGGACCTTACAGGAATCCCATGCTCACATGCAATGAGCTGCATATTCCATATAAGAGAGAATCCAGAAAATTTCATACATGATTGTTACAAGAAGACTACTCAAATGAGGATTTATGAGCTAGTCATTGCTCCAATGGATGGACCTGACATGTGGGAACCTACTGATCTACCTGATGTAGACCCTCCTAACTATGAGCCGAAGAAAAGTAAGTTGAACAAAATTAGAAGAAAAGAGCCCAATGAAATTGAAGCCTCCAAGAGAAAAGCAGTTGAGATGAAAAAACAGAGAAGAGAGAAAAAGAAAAAACAATCTGCAACAAGTGAAATGCATGATGTTACCAAATTGAGTAAGAAAGGGAAGTTGGGGAGGTGTAGCAAGTGCTTGCAAATTGGTCACAACAAAATAACTTGCAAGAAGAGTAGTGATTCCCCGAATTCAACAACTCTACCTCAAGCTACTCAAACAACTCAAGATTGGTGTCAAAATGCGATAAGTCAATCCCACCCAAGTAAGCAAATCATTGAGTCCACTTATTGGACTGGACATATAAATGAACCTTCTAAACTCAATGTAAGTATGGAACCTTAAATAGAGGTGCTTTAGTACTTTGAGAGAGAGGTAATACATTTGCGTTCTTTATTTTTTTTCACAGCCAAGAAGGCCAATGGAGGATGATTCATCTCATAGACCTGCACGAGCTCAAGTTGGCGGCGTTGTGATAAATGCTGAGAAGTATATGTGGAATGGAAAAAAATGTATTAGCTTACAAACCCTTCAAAATACAAGTGCTACAGAGAAGTCCAAGAAAAAGAGCTTTGATGTGGAAGAAAATAGAAGCAATTAGCATATGAAATTGTCAGCAAGAACAAATTTTAATTTCATCACGACTTCTTTTGTTGTTTAATGGATATTTCCCTATCATTTATTCCTAAGAGATTCTCAATGTCAAGTTTGTCATTTACCTTTACAATTTAATTTTAGTATTTGTACTCTTCGAAGCCTTTTGACTTATCTTTATTGCTTAACTATAAACACCCTTCTCCTATTTTCATCTCAATTAGAGAGGAACACGATCATTACACAAGAATTTACAACAAAAAAGGATAGTGCTATATTAAGTAATAGCGATTAGCAAAAAGTACATTACACACGAGCTCATATACATATACATTTACATTTCAAAAAATACTTGCATCAATCTCAAACTATTGGGCTATATTTATCTTTCAATACAAAACACAAATTCTCTGATGACTACCCCAAAAAAAAATTCTTGCAAAAGAATAGACAGTAAAAAAGAGGAACTAGCTGAACTTAGAAAAACTGACCTCCGAAATGGATCCACCAGGAACGACGTGAAGAAGTAAACGGCGAAGGCTTGAACAAGGTGAAATCAGAGAAAATATGGGGTGTTTTGGAAGATAAAGCTTATAAAGATCGACGAGATGCATAAATCTTAACACCATTTCTGTTAAAGAGAACTGGAAACACATCTTGGTCCTTTATCTCAGATTTCCCGGCTTCGGAGCTCCGAGGTAAACCTGTGAGAAAATGACTGATTTATTGAGCTTGTCCATTTTAGGCGAGGTAAAGGAAAGAGAAGATATTTGTGACTGATCTTTTTCTTTGGTCTTGAGCTTGTCGATATGCTCTAGGTGATGAAGCAGAGAGAAGATTAGTATGACTATTGACTGGTCTTTGCTTTGGTAACCAAACCAACTCCTTTTTATTTAATCTCTCTTTATTTATTTTATGTCATTCTTTTATTTATTTTTTATTTGTATTTCCTATTTTGCCCTCATGAAAAATTTATGTAAATGGTGGTTTTATTGTTTTGCAAGGGAATAAAGAGGCTAGGGTTGAAATTGTAAAAAAACATAGGACAGGGTGCAAACCACAAAAAAGGATACACATTAGGGGTGCAAAATGCGACGGACTCTCCCAAACAAATCAGAGTATTTGTATGGCTATAACTTGTTTGAAATTTGTGGTGGTAAACATGCCATAATATATGTGTAGTTATAAAAGCTTCTCATTAAGAGTAGAATTGCAAGTTTAAATTAAATTGTTTCCAAATTTATAAATGAGTCATTCATTATGGAACGGACCAAAAAGAAAATAAGTTCAAATAAACTGGAACGTAGTGAGTATTTACCTTTGTTCCTTCGTTAACTTTAAGTAACAAGATTCTCACTCTTCCCCCCCCCCCCCCCCCC